TGTTTTGCAAACGGCGGCACTAAGAGTCTTATTAACTGTGCAGCCTGAGGAGCGTTCACACCTCCACACCCCCACGTGATCACCACCCAGCTCAAGACACTGAACGCCTCCAGCGAGCGCCCCCTCCCGGGCGGTTCCCGCGTCCCTCCGCCGCCCGCCCCGCCCTGCCCTGCCCTCCGCCGACCCGTCTCGCCCGTTTCTGAACGTCACGGAATCGTACAGAACGTCCTGTTTGGTGTCTGGCTTTTTTTCTCCCAACCCTGTATTGTTGATCCTTGTCAGCACTGAGTCACAGGCCGCTGCACGGACAGACTTCCAATGCGAGCATCCGCTCTCCTGCGGACAGACCTCGGGGCAGCCCCCGGCCGCCTGCGACGGGGACGCTGCCCTGTAGCCGCGGCTCGCACACGCGCTGGAGGGCAGAGCGACCCCCTTCCCGTGGGCGCCGGCCTCCAGCAGCCTGCTAAGCCATCAGGTAGCCGAGGGTTTAACTACAGTGGGTCAGGCCAGTCTTCTAAAGGGACTGTGTCACCCGAGAGTTCTCGTGCACAGTTTTAAATTTAAAAAAAGCTCTTCGCTGCCCTGGCTGGCGTAGCTCAGTGGATGGAGCTCAGGCTGGGAACCAAAGTGTCCCAGGTTCGATTCCCAGCCAGGGCACATTCCTGGGTTGCAGGCCACAGCCCCCAGCAACCGCACATTGATGTTTCTCTCCCTCCCTTACTTCCCTCCCTAAAAATAAATAAATAAAACTTAAAAAAAAAAATAAAAAAGCTCTTCAGTAGAAACCCAAGAGTTCTGGGACTTTCGGTTCTTCCACCTTTCAAAAAAAGCAGGGGTCATGCAAGCAGAGTGCTCCCACCTCAGGGACACACAAGCCCGTGTGGGGGTTGTGAGGAACATAGTACAGCTTCTACTTTAGTTTCTTATTCTTTTTACCTAGGAAGTAAAATTCACTAACGTCTACTACATAAAGTGACACTCGCGTCCTTACTCAGGTGGTTATATTTATTCGCTTTGGGCATCCTTGTGATTCACTGCCACTCTGTGTGGGGCTGCTGAGCAGAATTAGGGAATTTTTCTTCTGCGGAACTCTCGCCAGATGAACCAGTGGCTGAAAGGAGTCCTACAGACAACATTCCAGCAAGGCGCGCACAAGCAGACACTGGCCGGCGCACCGTCCTCCAGCAGGAAATCCCTTTGGAAGAGAAAAACCGGGACCGTGTAGCCAGATCTCACAAGAAGCAGGCGAAAAACATTCCAAAAACCAACACTTCAAGAAACATGGACTTCATCGACGATATTAATGACATTCTGCCAATGAGAATTTTAAAACATAAAATACTATTTGTATCATGTCACCCCTTTTAGTGATTCATAACACACATAACAACGCTGGATGCAGCTACATGTAGTTTTAAGGGAAATTCACACCTATTTGGGGTGCACGCTCAATGTTTTTTTTTTTTTTTTTAACCAACAGGATCTACAATCAGGAGGGTTCCCGCTCTCGTTTTAACGTAAATGTTTTGCCAAGCAACCCTTATGCATAAGTGAACTTCAAATTTTTGAAGTTGTATACCGTCAAGTACGCTCTATTCAAAACAGCTAGCGGCTACTTCGTGTGAAAGTAAGAACTCCGGAGCAGAGAGGAGCCCAGGAAGCCCCGCCCCCCGCCCAGGGAGAGGCGTCGGGGGCGGGGTGTTTCCGCGGGCACTGGTGCTGCCCTGTGCCAGGGCAGGGGTTTGTTACACCCGCTTACACACTTGTCCAGCTCAGTGAGTGGCACATTTCAGGTGTGCTTCAGTCTAGGTAAGTCTTACCTCACAAGGAAAAAAAAAAAAAGGATCTATAAAAGATATTGACCGCTCGCTAATGATATGCATTCTGAAGCGTCCTGGAGTAAATTACAGTGATGTCTGCAACTTACTCTGAGATGCATTAAAATAAGATGAACCACCGCGTGGACAGAGGAACAAATGCGACGGAACACGTGTAACACAATGTTGGTGACCGAGTCCAGGTGGTAGATACATGGGCGTTCACTGCACACTTAGCTTTTCTATGCGGTGGAGACTTTTCGTGATGTTAGGAAAAAATAAACCCACTCAAGAGCTGAAAACTGTGATTGGAGGTGGTACAGGGTATAAGAGGGATAGATGGTAATGAGAAAAAAATAAGCTATTGAAAAAGGAGCTGATGATTTTGAAAAGTAGAGCGACACTGGAGAAAAGTTAGAAACTCACAAGGAAAGAAGGGAAGAACACTCCAGGACCGCTGCTTGCTGCGCTTACATGCACTAGTGAGTCTGCGTGGTAGGGATGACCCCCACTGGAGAGCGAGCCAAAACTCGACAGGATTACAGACCGTGCCTGGGGTCCCGGAGCCGGAAGCCCAGCTAAGAGCCGAATCCGACCAAAGTTCAGGAGACACACAGCTCCCCAGGGGCTGTCCAGGACCCAACGTTTTCCCGACAGCAGGGAAGTCACCTCCCCATTCCAGCTCTGTTATGTAGCTGCAGTGTCTCGCCCTGGCCAGTGTGGCTCAGTGGATTGAGCACCAGCCGAACCAAAGGGTCACCGGTTCGATTCCCAGTCAGGGCACATGCCTGGGTTGTGGGCCAGGTCCCCAGTAGGGGGCATGTGAGAGGCAACCACACACTGATGTTTTTCTCCTTTCTTTCCCCTCTCTAAAAAAATGAATAGGGGACTATTTAAACCCCGGGAGAGTGAGGATCGGTGCTCAGAGGATTTGGATGTTAGCCACCCACTCTGGGCCCCCGGGTAATAAAGTTCGTGCTTCATTAAAAAGAATAAAATCTAAAGAAAGCTGCAATGTCTAGCTCATGCCTTCCCTCGTAGGTTTGACTTCTTGGGGCCATACAGAATCCACACACGACTGGCCTTCCTAACAAGGGACAGCATTTGAGATCTTCCCCCCACTAGTTAGCGTTTTATAAAGTTGTCTATGAAGCTACAGCCCGGTGTGAAAGAGGGAAAAGTCCCCCAGGGTTGGGATGAAAACAAAATGTGGGCGTGTGTGAAAAGCACATCGCACTGTAGCTACCCAGGAGCGGGGACTACTCCAGCGTCACTTTCTCTTTCTAACCTTGACCTTTCCTCGGAGACTGCAACCTGCCACTCACTGTAAAACAATTCGCTTAAGGAAAACCTACGTCCTTTCCTCAAGGGCCTCTGGTTAGATGAGAACAGAGAGTGATTTTTTTCTTTCCTGTATTTATCCATCTTATCTAACAACTGAGTTCATTCCATTTCCTCATGTTCTGTTCCAGTTTGTCTTGGTTGGGAATGATGACTTCTGGCAATCGTATGTTCCATTATCTATACAAATAGGACCACTTCCGCAGCACTTTTTTTTTCTTTAGTAATTTAAAAAAAAATGACTACAGGTAGTTGAACGATGCAAGCAACCCTAATGAAAAATTTAAGACTATTTTTTGACCCTTGAGAACACTTCTCTAAGATGAAAGAAAAGCCACTGCGTTACGAGGAAAGGACTGACTACTCATAACCTTTACTTCACTTTGGACTGTCCGCAAACACAGCCACCCTATCAGCTCTTTATTTCTCACTTGACACATACATCCAGGGACTCCCTAAGAGTCTCCTAAAGTCACAAATCTTGCCCTCCAAGCAGTACGGCTCTGGAGTATGAAAACAACAAGTTGTTCCACCCTACAAAGTGTGGCTTCTTTAAGGACAACCTCCAGTGCGGATGTGGAGAAAAGTCACTGGCCCAGCCTACCGGTAGGCGGAAGACACTTCTTCCCACTGGACATCCGAGGCTGTGACGAGGGGCGAGGAACCCTAGGGGGGACCATTTCTCTGTGCAGAAATGGACGTGCGGACAGTTGAGATGATGAGCCTGGATCAGAGGCCAGGTCTTCCAACTCCTGCCCCAGTACCCTTGCCATTTTACAATCAAACCAAACTAACTGCCAAGAAAAAAAAAAAAAAAAAAAAGAAAAGACCGTCCCAACACACAAAACACAAACACACCCACACACACAATGTGATTAAGTCCATCCATTACTTCAACTTCACTAAACTGCAGTCCGGTCACCCATGATGTCACTTCCTTTTTTGAATGGGTGTATTTTTTTTTTTTTTTTTTGGTTTTGCTCTCCTATCGTTTGACTACCAGACAGCGTTGTAGAGCCCACCCTCCCATGCGTGCCAATATCCTCCATGCCCAGTTCGGTTCCTCAAGGGCACCAACACAGTCTCCAAGATGCCCCGACCCTCCTCCTTTCCACGCTATGTCTTATTTCAAGGCACGGACTGCCAACTATTACAAAATTAAGGGGGCTGTAGTTTAAAGCACAAAGCACACACGGTAGTATCGCGGCTCCTCCCCACGCAAAGGGCCTCCTAAAAACATGTCCATGCCGTGTCTGTAGGACAGGCAGAGGTTCCGGGGGACGGGAGAGCCCTTGCGGGCTGGAGCGCAGGCCAAGGATCAGGTAGGTCTGGGATCGACCTAAAACAAACATGGAGGTGAAGAGGCGCGAGGGGCGTCCCGGTGCCACCAGCCCGCGCTCTCGGGCGTCGGTTCGCCGGAACGAGGCGAACCGGGAGGCACGCACCCGGGACGAGGATGGGCTGGCGGGGGCCCCGGAATCGCGCTCGGGGAAGACTCAACAAGTCTGGATGGCGGAGGATGCTCCGAGCGATGGGTGAACGGGTGCCAGCGGGCTCCCGCTGGCCTCTCAGTGACACCGCCCGGCCTTGCCAGGAGGCGCCGCCGCCGCCGCCCGCCCGCTCGCTCGCGGACGGCCATTTGCAGCGCGCGCCCCGACGACCCTGCCCGGCCGCCGCCGGCGCCCCAGGCCGCGGGCTCCGTCAGCGCCGGGCTCCCGGGGCGGCGGCGGCGGCGGCGGCGGCCTGCGGGGCCGGGGAGGCGAGGGGAAGGGGGCGGGCGCGCCATCATGAAGGGAAAATGGTGGGCGGGCGGGCGGGCCCGCGCGCGGCCGCCGTACTCACCCGGGCCGGCCAGTGCGGGTAGCCCTTCATCTTGGCGAACACCAGGTCGCCCGCCTTGTACTCGCGGGGCCGCGGACGCGCCATCCCGGCCGCTCCCCTTCCCGATCGTCCTTGATCGCCGCGAAGACGCCCGCAGGCCGCCCCCCCCCACCCCGCGGCCTCGGACGGGCGGGCGGCCGCTCCGACGAGGGGAAGCGGCGAACGGCGGCGGGGGCGCGGGGTGGGCGGGGGGCGCGGCGGGCCTGCAAATCACGGCCCGGCGGCGGGGAGGGGCGCCCGGCCTCGGCTCGGCCCGCCGCGCGCTCACGGACGCCGCGCAGCCTGCCTCATGCCGCCGCCGGCCTCTCTCCGGTTCCGGGCGCGGCGGGCCGGGCCTCGCGCCTCCTCCGAGCCCCTCCTCGGGCAGCAGCCGCAGCCGCGATCGGATTATTGTTCTCGCACGCTCAGCCCCCGCCCCCTTCCCGCGCCGGCCGCTTAATTCCTAGGCTCACGGCCGGCTTCCGCCCAGAAACGGAGCGCGCCGGCCGCTGCGCGGAGAACGGGCGGGCGGTGGGCGCGTCCTCCCCAGCACCGAGCCCGCGCGGGGCGGGCGGGAGCGCCGACTCCGGGGCCGCCCGCCGCCGCGCTCTTTTGTTCTCGGCCCCGAGCTGCCCGCACGGCCCAGCCAATCGCTACCCGGCCACCCCTCCCCGCGTCCGCGCCGCGAGGGGCGCCCCCCAGCCCCACGACCCCCGCCCGGCTCCCCGTGGACGGGCACGGCGGCCCCGCCGGCCCGAGGATCCTCAGGCCTCTGGAGAGGCCACCGCTGTGGACTCGGCGGCGACCTTGGGTTCTCGCCCCAGGTCTGCCCTTGCAACGGCAGTGCGACCCACCCAGGGGGGCACTGTCGGGATTCGAACTTGGATCTCGGGGGCTCCAAAGCCCGTGAGTGGTTGTGCGTCCTTATTTCTGTGGCTTAACAGGACGGTCGTTTCGCAAAAGGGACTTACTCTGGCAGGTCACTCGTTTCCGATCCCGGCAACCTTTTGGACAAGATGAGTTTGAATTTGCCCAGCGGATGAATGCTGCCTGCCTCCTTCATCACCCCGAAGCCCGCCTTGAAGAGGGCCGCCGGCGCAGCTCCTCAGTGTAGCTGACTCTGTGGCCCTCGCCTTGCCACTGGGACAGTGCTCCTGTGTGTGTCCCCTCTTCTAGGCTCGCCTGCCCTCTCTCCCTCTGTAGAAGTTTCTCCCAGCGTCTGCCTTCCTCACGTGCCCTGCATTGTTGTGTGTGTGTGCATGTGTGGGTACCCCTGCTCCCGCGCCTTGAAGCTGGACTCCCAGTAATGGGGCCTGAAAGTCCCTAGACTTCCCGGGCACTGTTTGCTTTGTGGATAGTGCTGGCCGTGACCTACTGATGCATTTCCTTGCGACTCGATCTGGTGACTTTCCTTTGTAAACATTCACCCTTCTCACTGATCCTGTGAGTACCCCTTCCCCTCTTTCCTCGATGTTGGAGAGCGGTCTTAGGTCCTTCCGCTGCAGTCGGAATAGCTGGTGCCTTCGTCCCCTTAGACAGCACAATTCAACTGAGCAAACCTTAAAGATGTGATTGGTTTTTCTCATCGATTGGTGCGTGGGCAGCATCCCATCGGAGAGAAAGGAGCTGTACTCAGTGAAAGACTTAGGAGCGCGCGGGGGGCGGGGGGGTGGTGGCGGTGGCAGGACAGGAGGTTACTAGACAGGAGCAGATTGTTTCGGTCAAGGTCAAGTTTCTTTGGGCAGCGCCAGGGGTCTGCCAGGTAGACGGCCCAGCTGGTGCCGGCCGGGTCATTCTAGGCCAACCGGCCTGAGACTTCACTCCGGGAGCAGTTGTGACCGTGATTAAGTCGGGGAGTCTAAGTCTCAGTTTGGGGACGTGGCTTAGGCCACGTGACTACATTTTGGGTCTGTTTTTCTCTTTTTTAATAGTCCCTTTGGGTCGTGACAGTGAAACGCCATGGGCTGGGGGATGTGTACACACTGGAAATGGACTTCTCACAGTTCTGGGGGTTTGGGGGTCCGAGAACAAACCCCGGGATTCTGTCACCCGGTGTGGGCCGGCGTCCTGGGCTCACAGATGACGGTCGTTTCTGCAGCAGTTTCTGACAGCAGGGGGAGGGGGCGGGGCCTGGAAACTCTGGGGTCTCTCTTCCCAGGGCATGACTCCCACTCCTGAGGGCCCGATCCTCGTGAATCAGCTCCCCAAAACGCCCCATTTCCAAGGACACTGGGCACTGGCGTCTCCCGTGGATCGGGGCAGTGCACGTGAGGTCTGCAGCGGTCTGCGAGTGTGTCTCCCGCTCGTAGGACCCGTCCTGTGCCCCTGCCATCCTGCCACCATGCCCGGCTCAGGAACCTGTGCATGGTCCCCACGTCCTCTTCCATCAGACCCCAGTGGCTCTCTGACTAGCTGCCGGAGGCCTGGCTGCTGGCTGCTTGTCCCCTGTGGCATGGCCTCCCGGTTGGAAGTCGTAGCAGGCGTTTCAGCAGGGGAGGGTCACAACCACCTACTTCAGACAGATGACTCTGGATTCCAGGGTGAGAGGCTGGGGCTCACGGCGGGGGCTCTCACCAAGAGAAAGAAGACAAGGGCTTAGGCGGGGCTTGCCCACTCACTCGCGGTGGCTCATGGGTAGGAAAAAGGGAGAGTCAGAAACCATCCCCTGGTTTCTGGCCCACACAACGGGATGACTACTCCTGACCCTCCCCGAGGTGAGGACGTCGCAAAGAACGGGCAGTTCGGGGGTGAGATCCTGCGTGGTTCTGTGTGTCGGAGCTTTCCAGGGGGCTCCCGGAGAGGGGGAGAGAGTTCATGGACAGTTGAACGTACAGCTTGGAGGAAGCGGTCCGTACAGAACGTAGAGATCTGAGTGACATCCACACAGAGGTGGTGGCCGAACCTGGGAGGGAGGTTCCCGGGAGACGGTGCAGAATGAGACGAGGAGTGGCCGAGAATGGAGCCAGGTCATACCCGCACTGAAGGGTCAGGCAGAAAAGGAAAGAGCGAGTCCTCTTTTGGCAGGAACCGAAGATTAAAGAATCTCCTGAAGGAGGCATGTGGGCAGACAGGTGCCACGAAGAGAGAGGTCCAGTAATAGAAGGAGGCAGATGGCCCGCTGGTTGGGAACCGCCCTTCCTGGTATCAGAAGCTGAAACCCCCGCCTAGGCTAAGGCTGAGGGAACGCCCTTGGAACCGTAAGCCAGCAAGGACACAAAGGCTCATCTCCCTGGCAGGAGCGCTGCTTCTGCTGCTTCATTCATAACTGAGCCCCAGAGCTTGGTCGGTTAGCCAAAGACGGGTAAGATTCCCCAAGGGGGGAACGACCTAAGACAGGCACGATCACGTGGGAGGCCCCCAAAAGAAGGACTTTGGGGGCTACAGCAAAAGGGGGTGATGGACCCTCACTCCTCAGCTATGACATAGCCTGAGTCCTTATCGTCTGGGAGAAAATCTTCTTATCTCTTGGTTGCCTTAGTTCCCTTGCTCCACCTAAGCCTGAAACAATGACAGGGTGGTGCAGCTCTGTGCTGAAAAGGGTGGGTTCCCCGGGTGATCTGGCCTAAGAAAGAACATGTAAAATCCTGTGAAACCTGCTTTGTTTAGAATGCTCTCAGTTGAATGAGAAGGGTCCAAGGAGGAAGTTAGTTTGTTCCTTAAAAGTCTTACAGCTCTTTGACCCTGACTCAAAATAGGCCCTCAGACTTCCTTGTTATCTAATGTTTGATCCTTACTTCCTAGCAATGAGTAAGGAGCTTTTACCTGAATTCTTATGCAAACGAAACCAGTAAAAAGCCTCTCCGGAGGGGGAACGGCGCGCCCTCCCCACCAGGGAGGGTGGCCAAGCAGCGCCCTCCAGGAGAGAGGGTGGCCAAGGCGCTCCCCACTAGAGGGGGTGGCCATCCCGTCCCTACTTCTCCACAGAAACTAGTCTGTCTCTGTGCATGTTTTTTCTCGCGTGTTTTCGACGAGCCATCCGCAGCATTCCGTGATCACTGGTGGCTGGTGACCCACACATCGCCCGCTGGCGCTGGTGGTCGGGAAGTCGCCGGGGACGCTGTCGGAACCCGCTGACTGGCATGGTGCCGGAAGAACCGGAGACGTGGACGACGGGTGACCCTGTGGTGGCGGGACGGGCAGACAGCGCGTTCCCAGCGGTGGAGAAGGAGCAGCCCCAGAGCACGAAGGAAGGGTTGTCTGGCCGTTTAGGTGGTTTTAAAGGCCGGAGAAACAGGAGCTGGTCGTGAGGAGAAAGGGGGAGCCGGCAGAGTGGGTGCAGACAGGGGCCAAAGGGGGGTCATTGACGGGGGTTGGTCGTTTCGAGAACGTGGGGACGTCTTGCCGTCCAGGCTGCAGCGTGAGGCTTCTCAGCGAGCCCGGTCCGACTGCCCAGCACGCGCCCCTTGCCCGCCTCTCCTGCCCGGCACCGTGTCCGACTCCTGAACACACGCACGTGGGGGCGCCTTCCTGGGCTCCCTCTGCCCCATCATCCGGCCTCTCCCATCTCCCAATCTGTGCAGCTATGAGACCATCTGTCCCTGTGGCGCCAGGCTGGGTGCAGACCACCCCGTTGACACCAGGGGCGGAGCATTGCCCTGTGGCCGTCAGGGCAGACAGAGCTTCCAGACTGGTCCCTCCGCTGTGAGGCAGAGGACGGGTCCTGTGGCTGTTCCACCGGAATGCTCTACTCGAATTGGTAACAAAGAACCAGTACCCCTTTGCAGGTACCACTAGGACCATTCAAAGAGTCTGACGTGTTTCATTTTCGTCAACGTGCCCCCGAGCGCTGGTCTGTTTGCTGTGTCAAAAGAGAACACCGATCATTGTACCTCTGAAACTCGGGAAGCACGCCGTGCGCACACGGCGATCTCTCCGGCTCCCTTCGCTCCCTGCTGACTTGCGCGTGCTCGGACCCCTACGGGCTGTGGCCTCTCGTGCCCTCGGCCCTTTGATCTGTGTCTCGCCAGCCTTCTTCCCACTCGCCTGCGCCCACGCAGCGTTTTGTTGGCCCTGTTCTGTTCTCACCTTCCCTTTCATGCCATCCTGACTCAGCTTCTGAGTAAAACTCTCAATAGTCCCTTCAAAGCTCCCCCCCCCCATCCTCCCCGCCAATCCGCCCACCCCATGATGCTCCGAGGGCCGGCATCCACTCCACCCCAGACTGTGGAGGACACATAAGAACACCGAGAACGCTGCCTGGCACAGAGCGGGTACTCACTAAATGGCGGTTGGTGGTGTTACCTTTGCTGGGGGTGTTCACGTGGCGTCATGAAGAGAGCTGTGGAAAGGGAGTCAGGGAAATTTGGTGTTACACACACACACACACACACACACACACGTTCACGAGCACACACAGAGCACGTCAGACGGAGCTCCCCGGACTTTGCATCGGAGCGCATCTGCACCGCCTTTGCCGCGAGAGGGATCTCTCAAACGGCCTTTGTCCCAGCCCCAGGGGACACGGACTCACGTCCCTTGAACGAGAAAGGGCGATAAGCTATTGGTGCCCTCTCGCAAGTCAAATAGGAGAACTCTCACGTGCTGCGTGCGACGAGAGAGAGGAC